TTTCTGAAGCTCCTGGAGGTTCTTGGGAGGTTCTGAGGGACCTGGTGGGTTCCTGGTGGTTCCTGGGGGTTCCTGAGGGTTCCTGGGGGGTTTCTGGGGGTTCTGGGGGTGGGGGTCACCTTCTCCCCCCGCCGGCGGAAGGGGCCCTTGGCCTCCAGCATCTCGTAGACCGTCACCCCCAGCGTGAAGTAATCGACCGACCAATCGTAGTCCTCGTTCTTGAGCAGCTCGGGGGCCATGAACCCTGCGGGGACATGGGGACATCGTTGGGGGGGGGGGGGACAGGTGACACCGGGGAGGGGACATGGAGAGGACAGGTGACAATGGAGAGCCCAGCGGGATCTCCAGCGGATGGGGGTCGGGTGACTCGGGGGGACGCGGGTGACGTTGGGGTGACCCGGGGGGAATGAGGGGACACGGGGGGAGGACAGGGGACCAGAGGGGACACGGGGGACCAGAGGGGACCCAGGAATCTGGTGGGGGGGACTCGGGTCATTGGTGGGGCTTCCCATGTCCTCGTTACACCCAAGGGTCCCCCCCAGTGTCCCCGGTGTCCCCTCCCGGTGTCCCCAGTGTCCCCGGTGTCCCCTCCTGGTGTCCCCAGTGTCCCCGGTGTCCCCTCCCGGTGTCCCCAGTGTCCCCTGTCCCCACCTGGGGTCCCGGCGTAGCCGCGGGTTTTGCTCTCTCCGTCCTTGAGCTCCACGGCCAAGCCCATGTCGGACAGACGGACGTGGCCTGGGCAGCAGGGACACCAGTGACCACCAGTGACCACCAGTGACCATCAGTGACCACCAGTGACCACTGGTGACCATCACTGACCATCAGTGACCACCAATGACCACTGGTGACCATCACTGACCACCGGTGACCAACATCCCCATGCCCCTTTGTTTCCCACATCGCCAATGTCCCAAACGTCCCAGTGTCCCCAATATCTCCAATAGCCCAATGCCCCCAATGTCCCCAATGTCCCCAATGTCCCCGATGTCCCCCCAATGTCCCCAATGTCCCTGATGTCCCCAATGTCCCCAATGTCCCCAATGTCCTGAATCCCCCAATGTCCCCAATGTCCCCAATGTCCCCAATGTCCCCCAATGTCCCCAATGTCCCCCCAATGTCCCAATGTCCCCAATGTCCCCCAATGTCCCCAATGTCCCCCCAATGTCCCCAATGTCCCCACTGTCCCCCCCATCTCCCCAATGTCCCCCGTCTCCCCCCCGCCC